CCGCCCGGCCGGCTCGGCGCGCAGATATATGGAGGCGGCGGCGGGCGCTGCGGGGGAGGGGCGGGAGCGCGATCGATGGAATATAATTTTCCTCAAACTCGGAAAATAAAGTTCAGAGCTGATCAAATTTGAAAACAGATGTCGAATCGCGACTCTAAATAAGGTTCGATCCCGGGACTGAGGGAGTGGGGGTGGGGGCGGGGTGGGTGGAGAGGTGGCGAGACCCCCCCCTCCTCTCCCCTTCTCTCCCCGCCCCGCCCCTCCCGAGGAGGACACGCGGACAAACCCACCGGCGGGCGGGAGGTGTAGATAGCAATTACGTGGCCGGGACCCGTGCTGGACACGCGAAAGCGGACCCGGACACGCGGACCCACGGCCTGGAGAGCAGACACAGGCCCACGGACGTCGGGGCGCACGGACACAGTGACCCAGACAGTGCCAACACACGCAGGATCCACAGCCTAGCGGGCACTGGGACACACGGAGCAGCATATACACGAACAGACGGACACACGACCTGCACACACAGCTGTACCTTGATCCACTGCCCCACACACTGGACACACAGGCACACACAGAACCGTGGTGACATACAACTACACTCCACCTAAAAACACAAGCCTTCCGCGGCACACAAGCTCTCCCATTCTCAAGTCAGGCTCTGCCCCCGCCCCCCAGCCCCAGAGAAGCAGCAGCCCTTGGAGTCACCTGCCTCAAGAGGGCAAGTGCCTGGGGCAGAACGACCGTCCCCAAATGAATATGCCGCGTCCAAGGCAGCTCTGCAAGATCGCACCAACCCCCACTGACCTCAGCGAGGGGGGGGGGCTGAGATGGAAGGACGGAGAGGAGCCCCGAGAACCTCAGACAGGCTCCAGCTGCACCAGCCACTGCTCACCATGCACTTGGGCAAGTCACTAAGCATCTATGCATGAGTTAGCAAGCACGAGCCTCAGTTTGCTCAGCTGCAAAATAGGGCAGTAATGACAGCTACCGCCTAGGCAGGTCGGTGGAGAGCACTCTGCATTGGGTCAAGCGCCAAACAAAGCACTTGCCGTAAGCCTTGCTGCTTCAAAATAACCACGTTAAAAATACTAACCTCTGCTAGAAAACGAGAATCCCCTCCCTTGTTTCTACGTGGAACAGCACCCTTCCACGGAGCCAGCAGGAAGCCCCTGCTCTGGGTGTTTCTACCCCATCATTAGGCCATACTCGAGACCCCCGCAGGAGAGCCACCATCCTCTGGGTGTCTAGAACCACCCCCGACTGTACACAGCATGCTTGGAGATAGCTCACCAGCTAGACTGGTACCTCTTGGGTGTCCGTGACACCCACCAGACTGCGGGGAACACCCCACCCAGCACCCACTGGGAGGTAGAACTCCTCGTCTGCACGTGATGCCGTTCGGGAGCGAGACAACAGCCTCCAGGTGTTCCAAGAAAGCTAGAACACCGGCAGGACATCACGAACACCAGCTGGAATGTATTTAATGGCCATTAAATGCAGGGCACAACACCTGGGAGGAGAGAGGGCACACCTGAGCAGAAAGGACCCAGTGGACTATATGCTACACCTGCCAGTAAGAGCCCACCCTCCGGAAAGGCGCCATTTATCACACTGCACGCAACACCCTTCTAGAAAATTCAGCATCCTTGGGATGTCAGCAAAGAGCACCAGCCCCGAGGGCTTTCACACTCTTTATCTCTAAGCCCCGCCTCTGGGAGAGAGGAGGGCTTCCCAGGGTGTGAGACTATAAGTGACAGGTGTGAGGGGCTTCCGTTGCCCCATCAGAGGTTATGGAGGACCCCCGGGGGGGGGGGAGCTCTGATGCCCTCAGTGGCCAGGGCCAGATAGGCTGAACAACCATGCCCATAGGCACGTGACACACCCCCATCTGCTCAGACTCCCCCCTCCGCACCCCGCCCCCCAGAAACACCTTCCTGATTTCCGTAAGACCTTTCGGGCTGTGCATCTTTGGACAATCCATGTTCCCTCTCTGAGCCCCAGGCGGTTGGGAGGATTCATGAGGAGGATGTCAGAGTGTGGTGCATCCTGTAAGCACGTAAGAACTCGACAGAAGTGAGAGTTCTTACAGTCGAGCACTCCCAGGGAGGGGGGCAGCGACCAAGGCAGCCTCTTCAATCGTTAGCAGTATTGCCAACACCTACCTGACTGAAGGAAGCAGCTCACAGGAGGGGGACCATTAAGCTGCAGTTAACATCCCCAGGGAGGCTGCACTAGTAGACTAGTGTAGTTAACACCCCACTGAGACAGAACACCCTCAGGGTGTTTAATGCCCCCTGGAAAAGAGAGAGAGAGGGAGAGAGAGACAGGGCACCCTCAACCAGCCCGTAACACCCAGTGGACTGAATTTATTACCCAAGAAGCAGGGAACAACCTCTGGGCTCCGTAACAGCCATTAGAGTCTTTTTAACCCCCCAAGGAGTGCGAGGGCCCCTCTGTTGGGGCGAAAGCCTCCCTTTAGATCGCTTATAACACCCTTGCAAGAGGCGTCCGGGTGCAGCAAATACCACTAAGTGTGACAGAGGGTGAAGCCAGGATGGGCATAAGCAGACCGCGCCCCTCAGGAAGCCACCGCCTAACCGTCGCCCTGCACGGCTCTCCCAGAGCCACAGGAGCTCAGGACGGGGTGGACGGAGCAGGGTCTGTGCGCTGTGCTAACGGCCATGACAATGAACCCTTTCCTGGTGTTTGTTTGGGGCCGGGCACTGGCCCAAACCCTACGCGGAGATGAACTCCTCTGTCAACGACAACCCTACGAGGCAGGTGCTGTCTCACGTTGTGTCCATTTTACTGATGAGGAAACCCAGGCACAGAAGTCACTTGCCCACCGTTAACACAGCTAGTTAATGGAAGTGGGACCTGAGCCTCGGCAGCCTGGCCGGAGGGGGTGGGATCTGCGTAAACCTCCCCCACCACATGTTAGACTCTGGTCTCCAGCTTGGACCGACACGGCCCCACCCCGGCTCTCCGCACTTCCTCTGCACCGTCTGACATCCCCACCAGCAGCCCCCGGCTGGAGGCTCCCTGAGGGCAGGGCCTGGGTCCGATTCCTCTCTGGTTCCCCAGTGAGGGCAGAGCCTGTCACTCAGGGACCTGGGGAGACCCAGGGAGGGGAGGAGGGGAAAGGCAGTAGAGAGGGTGCAGGGAGGAGGGCAGGGGAGGAGGACTAAAACTGGGCCAGGCCTTACCGAAGGTGTTGGGGAGTGGGAGGGAACCCAGAGCCAAGGGGAGGCAAATCTGCTGGGGGGCTGGGGAGCAGACAGCAGCCCCACCCCTCCCCCACTCCTCCCCACCCCCACCCCCTGGAAGGTGGTAGAGGGATGCTGGCAGGGGATGGGGCAGGACAGACAGACCACCACACAGGCCGACAGGAGAGCAGGAGGCAGCCAGCCAGGGTGTGGGCCTGGGGCCTGGGGTGTGGGGGGGTCAGACAGCTGGACAAGAGTGGGGTGTTGAGAAGACTGATGGACAGATGCGGGAGAGGTCCCAGGAGAAGGACAGGCAGACTTAGGGCTTGGGGTTGGGCAGAGGGGACAGACAGACAGCAGAAGAGAGTGGCCACAGTGGTGGGGGCGGCGGACAGACGGAGGACAGCAGGGGACTGGAGGACAGGCGGGCGTGCAGGCCGGCAGGTGCTGCCCACGAGGCCAGGGCCAGGCCGAGGGCGCGCGCGGTGGCGGCCGGCGCAGGGAGGCGGAGGCCGGGCGAGCGGCCGTGTTTGGGGAGCTGTCGGCTGCGGTGGAATTATGAAAAATAGCAGGCATCGGAGCCGGCCTTCAGCTTCGATTAGGGGAGATGGGACATGACAGGTGCGATCAATACGCAGCCGTTCTATAAAGTGTCAAGTAATGAATCAATTTCGACTAAATTTTCCATTTTTCAGAGGCCGTTCTCCGAGAGAAGAATATCCTCTTTTGTAAAGATATTATTATCGATTTCGGCGGCAATTTGACATCAGGGGTAGTTAATTCCACTCAGAATAAAATTGAAAACACTTGAGAGAGAAAAGAGAGAGGCGAAGAGTGAGACAGAGGGAGAGGGGGGAGGGCGGGAGGGGCCGGGAGGAGAGAGACGGATGGACAGAGAGACAGAGACAGAGACCTAGGGAGAGGACAGACAGCGCGGCCCGGGGAGCCCGGGGCAGAGACGCGTGCAGAGATATGGAGACAAACTGAGAGGCTGTGAAGCCGAGTTAGCGGGGGCGACAGAGACTGACAGAGACGTTCGGAGAGAGACTGGGGGGGCAGGACAGCATGACAGAGAGACAGTGTCTCCGAGACGAGCCCAGATGCTAGAGACTTGCCACAGAGGCGCAAAGACGTGGACAAAGACAAATTCAGAGAAAGGGAAAGATGGCAAAAGAGGCAGGGGAAACAGAGAGGGGAAAGACACAGAAAGTGAGAGCTGGAGAAGGGCAACTTAGGGAGCTGGGGGGAGCAGTGCTGAGCGACTGGAGGGACAGGGGATGGGATGAGCGGGGGCGGGGCAGAGGCGAGAGAGGTCCCAGGGCTGAGGGCACATGCCCAGATGGGGGTCTGTCCTGCTTGTGGCTGTCCCCCAAAGTCACTCTGAAT